CCCCAAAACCCCAAAACCCCAAAACCCCACCCCAAAACCCCAAAACCCCAAAACCCCAGGAAAGCTGTTAAAGATTGAAACCATGAATGTACAAAATAAATTTAAAGTAACAACTTATGGAAAAAGAAGTAAAGGTTAAAGTCCAATACCTTGATAGCCTATTAAAACAATTAATGAATCAAAAGTAAAATACTCAAAAGAACTTCAAAGACGACGTGTCTACCATATCGAAGAGATTGCTCTCAGAACTTGAAGGCATTTACAAGGAGCTCAAAGAGAAAATTTCAAAAGACTCAATTTCAGACATTGGTGAAATTGAGTGAACTGCCTTCACACACCCGAATAAGCCTCCAAAAAGGGTATATAAATACAAGTTTCAACTCGACTGGAAGTTACATAGACAAGTGAGAAAATTTGAGATACTAAAGAATAAGATTATCAAAGAATGACAAGGAAGAATTCCCACTTGTCTCAAGAGTGAGTCAGACAAAAGCGTCACTTCAAATCTTGGAAGTCCTAGATCATCCATTGGGATTAAATACATTCCTGATCAACCTTATGAGCGATTGGAAGAGTCTTCACCAGTTCCTCTACTTGATTTCATAGTGATAGACCTAGAAGTAGAGGAATTAAAGAATGAATATGAAACCTTGAAGCAGCCTATGACATGATCCAAGATTTAGGTGAAATTCAACATGATATCGAAAAACAACTATTAAAAGGGAAAAATAAGCTACTTATTGCCAACTTTGAAGCTCAGAATGTAGCGAAAGAGTCAGGACTTGCTCTTAAAGAAGTTGAAAATGCAACAAACTCCAGATGGAATTGGCTTCCCCTCAAAGTTGCAGCAGCATTGGGATTTTTTGGAGCTATAGGTGGTGGAATTTTTGGTAACATACCTGGTGTAGCTATCGGTTCTGCTTCGGGAACAGCTGTTGGGGGTGCAACAGGAGCTCTAATAAGCAGAGCAATGCGACATCAAGCTAAAAAGTTTCATCCTGAGTCTCCATTTCTTCCTGATGAAACAGATGTCTAGTAGGATAAATAGGGAATCCCTAGACTATCTCTTTCTAAATTTTAAATCTTCTAATTTCTATTACCAAATTCTTATTTAAATAATTCTACTTCCTTCAAAATTAATGAATCTCAAAGGGGTTTTGGGGTTTTGGGGTTTTGGGG